ATATATATATATATATATATATATATATATATTCCAAGGCCCTTGCCAATCTATCTCGATGAATCATGGGGAAACATATAACCTGTTCACTGGTACCTACACACATCACCTATTCCATTAGACGATTCGACATTTATCAGAAAATGGGTACTGATTTGTATAAATCTCAAAAAATCGGTTCCCAAAATTGGCTATGAGATAGTACGTATTGATGGGTGAAATCCAAATAACGACACAGGATTTTATGGGGGAATTGGCATATATCTTAAATGATATTATACTGATCTCAACGTTATGCATAGTACCTGGACTTTTCTAGGTGCGTAAGTCACACTGAAAGGTGAGGACCATTTTACACCGTGATCATGAGTCAACTAGAACATTCAGGTTGGCCCAGTAGTAAACGTTGCTTATCAGGTTGTTTGGAAGATGGGTAATGCTATAGCCTGGTGGATGGTTTCGCTGAAATTCTTTTATCAGTATTTCTGATGATTGCTGGCATCATAAAATGATTTGGCGGTTTTCAGTTGAGATTCCTTCGTGTCAGTGATGCAAAGCAACAGCGCACATCTTACGAATTCTCACAGAGTTCTGAACCAACAACCTCACGACTAGAAGTTCGAACAGTTCAAATGTTTGGCCATGACCAGGTGATTAGCACTGTGATCGTTTCGTACTTAGACAGGAAATTTGGCTAAGGTTTCTCCTGGGTAAGTGTCCTATAGTTTTAGTATAGTGAGTGGATATTTCCCTTGGATCACTTTGGTTCTAAGTTCGGTTGACTTACAATGATACAGTTTTGTTTAGAAACGGTGCACAACGTTTTGGCCAGCGGCTGCCTGCCTATGTACCATACAGTTTTGATTTATATTTGCTATAATCTGTTCCTGGATATCTCTTCGGGCGATAAGAAAAAATATCACAAACAAACTAGTTGAGAGAATGCGCGCGGTGTTTATATACAACGCATGGGTATCGTAACAATGATTTTGTCAGCCGTAGCATTTGCAGCGATCACTTAGGAGACCTAGATCAAAGTGGTTCACATTGCAGTAATACAGGAAATAAATGCTCTTGTCAGCCTCATATAGTAGAAACATATGTAGCAGGGGCAACACGGTTTTGCACATGGATTTTCAAGTCCTGTTCAGGAATAAATTGCTGACCCTCTTATCCGTTACCAGAATAAAAATCACCTATACAACGTATCCTAAACGATGAGTACCTCTTTTACCTGCCACAAAAACGCTTGCTTAGGCAACAATGGAACAACTGAGTGGGACGAAACTCTTCTAGTTGAATAGATGAAAATTTGTGTGAACATTTTAGTTAGAGTTGATGGGTTGATTGGCAGACCGGTAGACAGACAGAACGGTAGTCGTAGTTTTATTTTAGGACGGCAACAAGGTGGGTAAGTCTGAGGTGTTTGAAATTTTTAGTGTTGCATGGACAAAAATGGTAAAGCAGGAAGCAAACTGATCAGCATGCGTTGATGATTTGAACGGTTCAGTGAACTGAGGGTTAGAATTTTAGCGTATGGTAGATCTGGATATAATATAGAGACCCCATAAAAGAAACAATATGATAAGCATTGAGTACTATCCATTGGCCCTTGCGAACCGGAAACAAGGGGATAAACAATCAATTTGTCAAATAAAGAAGAGTGCTAAGACGAAGGTGCCCGGTTGCATTAACAGACTCCGGAGAAGAGCTTAAATGCGCATTCATTTATGGAATTCATTTTGTTTCTAGAACACTGAGACAGAGCTGTAAGGTAAACGTGTGATAGTATGGCCACATGATAGACAGTCAAACCACGGGCCAAAAAGCTCAATGGACATAATCGAAGAATATATTCGAACACAAGGACAGATAATAATTAAACTAAGTGGACCAAAAACGTGAACATGTCCAACTTCTACCTTGTTACTCAGCACACGATGCAGTCGAAAATGTTACTTGAAGTGGAGTAGTTATCAGATTGGTATGATAAATGCTGTTCAGCCGCGACTTTCAACCACTACCTTGCGGTAATTTTGTCAAAGCTCACCAAAACCAGACGTAAGTAAAGGCATGCCTGGCATTGGACGATGCAAGAAAGGATAATATTCTCTTATGCAATTTTCTGAGATAACCTGTGACAACAGCCTGTAAAGAAGTCTTGTGTTTCGAAACTTCACTGCATCAAATTTGATGGAAAGCGTGACCTCCAGTGGGAGTTATACAGCCATGCCGATTTCACTAGTTTGATGCAAGGTGATGGAAAAGGCACGCGGAGTAAGAAAGGATTGATGAGGTGATGAGGCAGATTCAACGAGTGCGCGTTGCTGTTATTTTCGAATTTGCGTTAATGAATTTGACATGCATTCACTGGTAAGATCCAGATTTCGCAAACCTTATTGACGTAATACTGATGAACGTCGGTTCTCAATAAATGTTTCAGATTATCGGAATGTTTGAGTAGCCGCAGTGTCTTCTACTTCACTTACTTACTTTAGTCGCGTTTTTAATGTAATGTTTCTTGACCCTTTAGGCCCAGATCTTGCCTGGTCAACATGAAAAAACTGGTGTCACAACACGTATGAGCGGATTCAGTGAATTCAGTCGGTTTCGGACATGGCTCTGGGGTTCCGCCTGCACTCAACTCAATATACAGTAGTGTGGCTGCGGATAGAACAAGCGCATCGCGTCAGTAATGAAACTAGGACAACGTCAGAGTGAGAGTTTGCTGACCCATTTTACAAGCTAATATTTTAAAGGGAACATTCCTGCATCATTATATTTAATATAGAGTATTTCAATAGGTGGACTTGGTTTTTATGGATTAGGTCGAAAACTTGGATATTCTCACCATTCACGGAAAGAAGCATGTGTTTAGCGTGCTTAGAAAACAGTAATGCAAATGAATCGAAATGGTAGAATGCACTCGCATTTTATTGTGTGAAACATTAAACGAGCACTGACACACTATCTTCTTCTGCATTGGTAGAATCAGCCACCAAGCTTAGGACCGTCCAAGGTAACCTTCAAAATGAGGATACTCGTTGCACTTACCAGACGTTGACACCTATTTTGGTAGGAATATAAACAGCCGTAGCGCAGTCATAGAATGGTGGACGAAGCGAACGAATGGAATATGATATGCGAAAGCGAACCGGATGCCTGAGAAGTGTTTGGCAAACGGTCGGTAGATTTTAACTAGGGCAACGTTTCGCTTCTGACACAAAAGCTTGGTCAGGCATGAGTTTCAGACCAGCCAAAAGATAAGCAGACAATCTTGAGAGCAGATTTTTTCAAGAGTGCAGAATCCGTGGTTGACCTAAAGTGAGAAAAAGTAACACGGATGCCACGGGTGTCTTGCTTTGAAAGCGAAGTGTTTTGGAGTTGCTTGCAAAGCTGTGCATCAGATAACTGAGGACCACCCACAAATAATGGCCTAACCGAACACACTAACCGAAAAATCAAAAAGTGGCTAGCGGCCAAAGGTGACTGCGAAGTGGACCTGCCAGTGATGTTGCTAGCTCATCGTACTTGCATACAGCCAGTCACAGGCAAGTCCCCGTTAATGCTGAAATACGGTCAACATCTGAGTTTTCCACTCGATCAGGAAATTGGGTTGTGGAAGGCAACACGCTTGTCTCTGGAGGGGCTAGAAGAGGAAAAGAGGAAAGTTCGACTAAACTTGACCGCTGTTCAGGAAAGGACATGAGAGAGTTGGCGCAAAGGTCAAGAGGAAGAGTCACCAGAATCCTGGAAGGAGTGGACTGGGGTCGCGAAAACTGGGCAGTCGATGGCAAGATCAGTTTATCGTTACCGACCACCACGGGGAAAGTCTATGCGAATCAAGACGGTCGAGGAATGAAAAATGTAAGTGGTACTCAGCTTCGGAAGTTACATGATATTCACGAAGAGCTGCCGAATAGACCAGCAACTGGAGCTGACCTTACGGACGTAAATAGAAATCGCTGGCATGCAAACGACTTTAAAAGAGGAAAGGTATGCAACGGCGAATATTAATGATGAGGCAGACAAGTAGTATGTGGTTTTCTCGTAACTCCGCTTAGCGTCTATTGAAAAGTGAGATTTAGTACGGAAGTTGTGGAACCGCTTTGCAGCTTTTGTTTACAATGGCGTGATGTTCAGTTCCACGAAAGTTCAAGAAGGTGATGGAGATGTTCAGTTTTTAGAAACAAGGTGCGTATGAGGCGTTTACTTCCTCGTTCAATAGTTCGTAACTGTTTAGTTGGTGTTTGCGGACTTAGCAGCGTAGGAGTTCCTGCTTACACCGGTGCCAACACTCTTCGCATTTGACGCCTAATGAACCTATATGGGTATCCACGTCCTAGCACATTTGTATGTGATTAATTGACATCAAAACTTACAAACATGTCATCTGGTTCAACGAATATACCAGATACTTTGTCGGCAAAATCAAATTCAAATTGTGAATGCTAGATTTCTTCGTAAAGGGTTTCGAAATACCTTCCAGGAATCTTACCAGCTCATGGGGTAGAGTCTCTGTTCCATCTACTATTGGTCACACTGGGACGTCTATTTTATGAATTTCTGATGGGCCCCAAAGCCGTGGTTGGGTTGCACTTTTGGGGTACAGTCGGCGCCAGTTACCTTACCCTAACTCGTTTATCACGGACCGCAAATACCTGCCAATTTTAGCTTTACTCCTAATCATTTTGGTTGCAATATTCCCACCATTGGTCTGCCAGTAATAACCCCCAGCTGAATGTTGCCTGACCTCCTGTAGACCTTGATCTGTGGTCGTTCTGTTAATGAAAATCATGGAATAAACCTTAACGGCCTTTACGATCACTAATTCAGGGTGTTTAACGTACTGCTGGCTTAATATTTGTGGCTCTTGGCTGCTGGGACTTGAGGAATGTGATCAGCTGTACCCGTGGCCTCCCCGCCTCCACTTACGGAATTTTTTTTTGAAATGTAAACTGAGGATTAAGATTAAAGGTATGATTGAGCTCAAGGAAACAACCCCGATCGGAATTAATTTAAGCTCCTCAATTCAGCAATGCAAGATTCTGGCAAACATACTAATCGACAAGAGCTGTTAATTGACTCTCAAAACTGATCTAGTGCAATAATATGAAGGTGTGTTACTGATTGGTTGTGTCTGCTTTAAAACCTGGTCAAATTCTTGACCTACTCACTTGGTCTGATGAATCTTTTGTGCCAAATAAAAAACTACTGATGGTTAACCAATCCCTTCTGACACGATGACTTCTCAGTAGTTTCCAAAATTCTTTCAAATGGCTGAGTTAAATGTATTTTTTTGGATCGCGAAAATTGTGTTCTATATGAACACTTATATAGCACCATATGAATTCTTTTGGCAGCATTCTGAGGTATATAGTACCGAAGAAACTTTGACCCCATTTTACTGCTTGAAATGTGCCCAGGTTTGATCACAAATACTGACAGAGGGAATGTTTTGAGCGTCTCTGGGGAATATTTCAGCGAGTGATCGTGTGCATGTTCAGGTGCAAATAGACAGCTCCGTCAACAACACGGACAGCAGTGCACCGGTGATACACACTGGGGATTAATTGTAGCAAAGCATTGGGAGGAGTAAGTATCTGTAACGAGTAGAAAGCACAAGGAAGTGTGCGGACTTAGTTCGAAAACCGATTAAGAACAGGCTACCAACACCTGCGGATAGGATTAAAGTAATACATATAGACAATGTGTCAAAGAAATGCACCATAGACGGAATAAAACCAGCGTCCTTAACGAACTTCGTTCAACATGAACTCAGCACACAAAGCGGACATACCCAATGTAGACAGTCTATCTAGGCAAATTGCTTCACTAAAAATTTCGTTGTGAATAAAGGTTACCTGTCCTTTTCGAATTCTCTACGCTGAGCTGACCAACGCCCACTTCCGATGTTAGTTTTCAGGAAAAGAACAGCTGAGGTTGACGTTCCTGATTTGTCAAAGTGTAAACATTTGAACATCAACTGTTTGAGCAGGAGAACAAGTGACGGCCGCTACGACCTTGAATCAAATCCACTGACAGGCACACAACCGAGAAACAACAAGTACGTAGTAAACGTATAAGAACCAAAACCTGTTTTTTATAATATTCCACCATGATGGGCACGTGTCGGATTGGCAATAACGTATCGCCCAAACAGGGGAATTGGTCATTCGGCTCAATGGCATGAGGTACATAATCAGCTATGCAATTTAGTTTCGTAGACTTCTGGATACAATCCGGTCTCTTGAATGCAGGTCAGTCTGTCTTAGATTTACGTTCTGATTCGACCACTTCTTAGTCATAAAAATGCTTTACCTGTTTGTGTTTTTCCATCAATTTCTTTGTTACATGTAGCCTCATGCTTCGTGCCACCGAGTTCTACCTCAAAAGTTGTCTACAACAGAAAGATTTATAGTTTAAGTAACTAAGCTGACCTGTTTGGTCACGTAAAAGGGTTCATTGACAAGCTCGCTTGGGGAATAAAAGAATCAGTAAGTGCAATAAATCTAGTAATATTTCAGAAGGAAGTAGGTTGGTAGTTGTAATATATATGTATAAAATAACTGAATATAAATAAACCACAAACGAATACAAGAGGCAGCTTGATTGATAGGTTCAAGTTCGAGTTCACGAATTTCAAGCCCGTTTTACTTTGTTCTCGGCACGACCCAATTACTAATCACATTCATAGTTCAGGTTCCGGTACATAGGTTGAGAAGTTAAGAGAGCAGTCGAATTACAGATATTCCAATCATAATATAGACAGCAAGGCAAATGATGAAATGCTGTAACCTGTCAATTTGGGATTTAGGTATCCTTGTCAAAGTCATACTTCTTCGTGTATTTGGGAAGGGTTTGTCTGGAACCGGAACTCCTAAGAATTTACACAATGGCTCCCAACGGTCTTTGACTTTGTAAACCAACAGTTGATCTTTCGGGACCACACTCCTTACATAGTCATTCCAGCGAATGTAGGCCTGTATCACCTGGTTGTCGTCTTGCAGGTCCACGTTAGGTCCAAAAAGTCGTTTGAACATTCTTCTATTTAGTTGTTCCAACCGATTAAATCCAACGACATATAATGTGGAGTCGATGAGTCTCCGGTCTGAATTTTTATATGCTCTCGGTAGGCTCGTTGACCTTATTGTTGCCAACCAGGGTTCGGCCTCGCGAATTGTGAGAATGAACTGAAAAATGTAAGCAAGATGAAAAATTCCGTAGGATGCGTGACGTGGGGGAGTTCATATGACTTTACACATTGCACCATCAGTGAAATCGGGTTTCAATGAGACATGAAGAACGACAAGATTCCGAGGGTTAACTTCACTGTAATAAGTCTTGCCGCGTAACGCGGCAACAGAAGCATAATGCGGTACAATCCGCAATATTTATATTAGTTCAAAACAAGATGTCAAAAAGACAAACTGATTCCAATGAGCTATTGCCTTGTATTTAAATTTGCCTCATCAAAAGAACACTGGAATTTTGTAGCAGCCGAACAACAACTAATGTGTCACTGGACTGAAGTTAGAACAGGGACGTAAAATTATTTCCCTAATGTAGCTGATTACTCGTTCAAAGGGCAAAATTTATTTAGATACGCGAAATACTTAACCTGATGGAAAACCAGACAACTTGTCCGTGGAGAAACCACACATGATTTACCGATTCTTCCGCTACATGACTGAGGTCGAAATCCACTTTCTCCAATACTCCTGGATTCCCGGAGGCACATGAACTCTGTACATGCATTCGCGCAAATTCAGCCATTTTCCATCTCTATCTCATTTTTTAAGCAACTTGTTGATAGCATGATATTCCTCAGAACTGTCCTTGCGGAACGCTATCTGGAAAATACCCACGAGGTTTCGTGCTACCGAGCATCGTGTTTACTGATGTTCTTAAATTGAAACCGGCGAACGTTTGAACATTTCAGGGGATGCATTGGTCAGTGTACTAAGAATGTCCAGTCTTGCTTCGATGGCATCATTAGCGATCGGTTTAATATTTCTGTTGTTAGGTTTGCTTTGGGACCAATACTAGCCAACATTTTTAATGGACGAAAATTGGATGGTTAATGGCGAATACCTTTTTATAAGATATGATCAGATATGATTATTCTCTTCGCAAACAGGACTCTTCAGAGGAAGCTCTTCACTATTTTGAAACTGGAATACAACTTATCTCTGTTTTAAGGAGGTCACATCATCAGAAATATCTTGGGTGCTATCTCTCCTTCTGTGAATGGGAATGAGGCATGGACTTATTGATATATAATTTGTAGAACCTTTCATTCGCTGCAAATAAAAAGGTCCTTAGTCTCCTTGTTGCTTTATAGAACTGGACGAATCTGCGCCTAGCGTTCAAGATGTACTGTGAACAAATGAATATCCTGACATGTTCACAGAAAATCCCCTTATTTTGACTGATATGCAGAAAGTGCCGATCAAGTACTGAAATGTATGTTTACATTGATGTTCAGCTGACTGTACTTTTTGTTAATCTAATCAGACACGAAACGGATTCCTCCGACGTCAGACTAAATGCCGCACAACTGTATGCGAAATTATAGGAACAGGCTTTGCCAGTGACACGGTCAAAACATCAGTGCTACCTAACGATGGTAGCTTTTAATCAATTATTCTGGGGTAGTGAAAATATGTAAATTGCGAAATTTGAGATACCAGCGAATGTACACATGTCCAACCTTTCCTTAACATATTGGGTGATCTTAACGCAAGTCTGATGGTGGAAGTGGTCTTCAGATGTCAAAATACAGTGCGCCTGAAATGCAGTCGTAGAACGAAATAAAAGATGAAATTGTCGCAAATTACTCAGAAATGTCTTAGGTGCACTGGAAAGCACCATTGTGTTTTCTATCCGTCAGGTTAATATAGGATTACATAAATACTATTATAATAGTATTATAATACTGTTACACTTTTTATGCCGTTTTAAAGCTTTTGAGGCTGGAAGTGAAGATGCGGAGTGTACTAATCCCACAGCCTTTTTTCACATTGCTAGGCGAATTTCACACTCTCTGTCTTCATTCTGTCTTGAAAAGACATTTTCGAGACAGAGGCTTATAAAACATATTTGGTTCTCTGTTAATGTGAACATTTGGTGAAAAGAAACGATTGAAACATTGCATGCTTCCAGAGTTAGGCTACAGAATACGAGAGACATATTAACAATTAAAGATACCACAGTAGTTTGACATAGATCGGTCTGCTATCACCCTGCAATAAACTTTTCTCAGGACATTTGGTTGCTACTTCCAGTTGTCTACTTATGTTTTTTTTCTGAGAAAACCGTCTTGTAGACAACGAGCAAACGGGTTGAAAAATAGGACCAGAGGATCAATAGCCATTATGACGGAAGGTTTTGCCGGTAATTTGCCTCTGCGTCCATGTGTGGTATGCTTATCATTCATGCCCTGTGTACCAGGCAGCGAATGGTGCTACGTTTCCGACAGCAGAATAAGTGACAATTTGACTAATGAGCCTCTCTCTGTATACCCATAAGCAATTTATGTAAATTTCACTTAGAAATAGCAGGGCTATGCATATGCAGTGAAAACGACTGAAAACATAGGGGGCTTTTGTGAAGGTATAAAATCACACGGCTTATGAGTAGTGCATTGCAAGTATACATTTATCGCAGTACCTCGAATATTGTAGCAACTAAAAATTGAGGCAGCATGGTGCAGCACATTTAGTTGCCTGGAAACGTCACAAACGGGGGATTCAGCTGGGTTCCAGGTTAGTCTCTCGCAAAAATCAAATTTGTTTGCAAATGATAGTGTTTCGCTAATTTCGTGCGACTTGTCTTTAAGTAGAACATAAGTTTGACGGAAACTCGGGGACTGTGCTTATCTGGTGAGCCCCAAGAGGGGCGAAACCCGCGGACGGCTGCCGAAGAATTTTCAGCAACCTTAAGGAACCGCATGCTCGTTGCTCATCAGGCTGCTGAGATCACATTGCAGAATAAAAACCACAAATCGGCACTAAGAAAATCATAATAAATCGAATAGTTTAGCCGCTTACAGTTATTATGGTAGACCACCCTATTCGTGTAATTATTGGGCACCTATTGCACAAAAGTTTTATCAAGTCCCAGTTTTTAATTAGAAACACTTAAGTACTGAAGCTCAGATAATGTAAATTACACTGCATGCGGGGCCATGGACAAAGCGGCATCAAGGACAGCTTACACTTGACGTTTATCACACGCGTTATGTTCGTTTGAGCATATAAGAAACAACTGTTTACAAAGATGTGGTATAACAGCAGGCCGGCTTTGGAACCACGTCTATCTTGATCAGCGGCTTTCAAGGAGGATAAACACAGCACGTTGTAGTTTGTTAAAGAGCTACTTGTATGCAATTGTAAGAGGAGGGTTCAACCTTTCCCATTTGGCTTCATCCGACTGATTTCCTCATCCATCATTTGTTTATATCTCTTCCCCACTCCTGCGAACTTCTACCGCTTGCCTTTACACAATTGCAACCACTCATGTGTGGCCAGTAACGAAGGTTGATTCTATTTGATCTGTGATTGACTGACTGTCAGATGTGATAGAAAAAGGAGACACCTCAGCGGAGCTGACAAAATGTCTTGATTGGGCTCCTCGGGTAGGTGTGGCCCTTGAACTTTCATCAATCTTGTTTTCCAATTTGGCGCCAAATTTTGCAATGATCCGGTGACAGACACAAACACTTACTGCTTAGTCGCCGGGCAAGGTAACATCACCCGAAATTCCTTAATCCTCCAGAGCGACAGTTTGGGTGAGTTTGTAAAAGTTGAAATACGTACTTATTAGGTTGACCTTTTATAAAACACATGGCTCATAATGCTGCTGCAGCATTCATTAGTTGACTAGTAAGGGACATTTCAAAGTAAATTGGGGACACGCTCCACCACTGATCTACGACTTTTAAGTTAGGTTTTTCGAACGTGCGAGAAAAGCAATTGCAGACTCATTCATGCTTTCTTTTTAATGATGTAGATACTGCGGTAGACCGTGAGAGCAACTGATGGTATCAGTTCCGAACTGAGTCGAACAAATACAGAAAGCTCAGCGACCATTTGTACGATATTTTCCTCGAAATGACAGAAAACAAGAAAATTGGAGGTTAATTTTCATCTTACTAGCTTTTGGGTCGTGCTTTTTATGTCTATAGCTGCCTTATGCGAGGTAAATAAATCTTGGTCTTCGTAGTCCAACCTCTAAAATTCAGCATTTTGACTTCGAATAGTTGGTTCCAGTCAACGTTCTCCAAATTAGTTGCGTTGTCTAAAGACAGCAAACTGCATGGCCGCTTCTTTCCAGTTTGTTGGCTTGTAGAACGTCAGACAAACTCCCAATTCAGATAATTCAGTGGTCCGTTTATAATGCATTTTATGCAAACATTGACGAAGTAAGATATGAATATTACTCGCCACTTGTTGCATCAAAATTTGACTTGAAGCATTTTTCGCACTAGTTGGGCTCCCGTAGAGAGACCATCTAACAAGCGATGAAATTTCATAGGTTCGATTGCCTTGTAACACACGATAATCTTGGACCTTGTCCCATTACTCAGCAATTTTCTGCATGGTGGATAGAGCGTAATAAGTTGATGGATCCAGGCGATATGCCCTGACGGCACTCACCGGATCGTAGCTGTGAAGGGAGCCATATATGCCCGAAAGACTTTCCTTCATAGAACTATGCAAAACCTTTGCAGAAATGATCTTCTCGAAATAAACAGAATGCAATATTGTTAGTTCCTCCAGGAACAGTGTTGCTGGAGCATACCGAACAATATACATGAGCTCAGGAAAAGATTTTCGAATCTGACCAGTTTTGAAATGAATACTTCTGTTTGTCTGACCCAATAAAATTGCATAACAATCTTCTGCGCGAAACTACAAATTGCATAGCGGAATGAAAACATGCTTGTCTGGATTAATATGATAGAGGACGCATGCAAAGAGATTGTTGAGCATAAAAGGCACTAAAAATCTATTATGTGTTCCTATCGTTATGTCGTTGCACTTCGCCGTCACGGATTTTTATAAACCTGGTGAAAAGCTACCTAGTGCCTTGCCCTTGTGTGTTTCGTTTCGTTAACATTCCTAAGCATTCCTACGCCCACGTTCGCTCCGCTTCTAATAAAACTATTTTCAGGAGCAGCAGGAGGTCT